TAGATGAGTATCCCTCTTGAGGGAGATTATCATCTTCATGACTGTCGCCTGGGGATATACCAGGGGCCTCAATAACGGCTTGGGTTGGTGGGGGTGGTAGAGGGGCTGCATCTTCTGCTCCATCACGAGGATTCCCTGTAATAATGGGAGCCTATAGGAGTCTACCATGCTATTCTCATGATCACCAGAATGTTCCTGTAATATGAGATACTCCTCCTGATTGGTATAACATCTCCCTTCTAAGTCCGGCAGTAGCACGGCCATATTATAAGGATTCACAGTACCTCACAGTCTAGCGATAAGTCTACTAATACGATGATACACCCACAACATACAGGAGCTAACCTTATACTCAGGCCTCTTCCGATCTCCCTCTTCTCGTGGTACCTAAGTTCCTCTCCTCCAGGACTGGCCGCCATAGACTAGACTAAGCTCACCAAGAAGAGCGGTACACGATGGACAAAGCTATGATTAGTATTCATCTTATTGCCAGCTTTCAACATATTCAATTGACCCTCTGGTGCACGCGTAATCTTAGAGTCTAGGAGCTCACAGCCATCCCCATCATCAAAGATCCCCAGCTTCTTCCCTATGGAAAGGCTAGTGACTTCAGACAGCAGTGGAGAGAGAACCTACGTATCTTTCGGGCCTCCCTTGCATTCTTCCTCCGTTCTTTTTGCCCAACCCCTCGACCAAGAAGCTCCATAGTCTCATACATTTTGAGATATAGGCTATCAATCTAATGATGCTGCCTATAATCCTTTCCAATAGATATTTTTTCCTTCTCACCTTCCTAGCATATACAGCAGCACTATGGTATAGGCCGATGGCTGCCTGGGCAAAGTTGATGGGATGGGGATTATCATTTTCTCCTATATATCATTGATACAGTCCCTCTAAACTCCCCATGCCACATACCATCCTCATCATCATCATCCTCAAACAGCTCTACCTTCAGCTTCTCCAAACACTCTACCTGCCACCGAGACGGTCGGATGGCCCCGTGTGATCGCCACTATCGTACAATATCGATTTCCCAAGCCTTGGCTGAATCCTTAGGAAGGTCTCCAAGTAGAGGATTCGCCTCCTTGGCCCTTCCTGGCGGCCCCCGTCTAGCCGATGGCATTATATTGATCCAGCCAACAACTACGACCGTAGCATTGGCTTGTGAAGAGGAGGAAGCGAGTACAACATGATTCTCTCCAGTAATGGTAGTGTTAAGCCCAGAGTGTACTCCCAGTCTTTCCTATATCCTACGATCATCATCCAATATTCAACAGTAACTAACCAAAGGTGCACAAGGTGGAAATATCAGCAACTATCATCTATTGCGAAACACTCTTCATCATATACCATCACTTCTTAGGAGTATCGAAATGGACACCGTTCAAGTCGGCGATATACCGAGAAAGGTAGGGTCGACAGGGAGCTTTGACTCAGAGATGTGTC